TCCGAGAGGAATTCCGCCCATCTAATCTGTCGTTTGTTGAGGTCTTTGTTCGTTGTGAAGTGTGCAAGATTCTTGTGGTCAGTGTAGACCTTGACTTCGTGTCGTGCTCCGGAGAGATACGTTCTCCATTCTTTGAAGGCTTCGATGATTGCCATGAGTTCTTTGTCGTGTATCTGATAGTTGAGCTCTGGTCCGTGTAGCTTTTTCGAGAAGAATGCTACTGGGTGCAATCGTCCTTGGTCGTCCCTCTGGCCTAACTGTCCTCCAATGGCGAAGTCGGAGGCGTCTGTCTCGACTTCCATGGGTTTTTCGGGGTCTATCATCCGGAGGACTGGCTCGCTGAGGACGGCGTCGATGATTTGGCGAAATGCTTTTTCTTGGGGTTCGTTCCACGCGAACTCTATTTCCTTGACCGTGAGGTTTGTCAAAGGATTGGCGGTCTTGCTGTATCCTTTTAGGAATCGTCGATAGAAGTTGACGAAACCGAGGAATGCTCTGACGTCCTTGACGTTTTTTGGTGTAGGCCATTCCCTGATGGCTGCCACTTTGGATTTTTCCATCCTGATTTCTCCTGGGGTGATCGTATACCCTAGGAAATCTACTTCCTGTGTGTGGAACTTGGCTTTTTCTGGTTCTACTAACAGTTCGTGCTGGTGTAGTCGTGTGAGGACCTGGTGGACGTGTCCCTTGTGCTCTTCCATCGTCTTCGAGAAAATCAGAATGTCATCGAGGTACACTACCACGAAGACGTCCAGGAATTCTCGCAGTACATCGTTGATCATGTTTTGGAAGGTTGCGGGGGCGTTGGTCAATCCGAATGGCATGACCAAATACTCGTAGTGTCCTCGTCGTGTTCGGAATGCTGTTTTCCATTCTTCTCCATCCTTGATGCGGATGAGGTTGTATGCTCCTTTGAGATCGAGCGCTGTGAACCAATTGGCTCCTGCTAATGCGTCCCTGAGTTCTGATATCAGAGGCAATGGGTAGCAGTTCTTGATGGTAATGTCGTTCAACTGTCTGTAGTCGACGCATAGTCTTTCCTTGCCATTCTTCTTTGGCACAAAGAGAATCGGGTATCCTGCTGGGGATGTCGATGGTCGGATGTATCCTTTTCTGAGGTTCTCCTTGAGATACTCGTCGAGAGTATCCATCTGTCGAGGGTTTAATCCGTAGATCTTGTTAAATCGGGGGCTCTCCCCTTCCTTGATTGGGATTTCGTGGTCGTAGTGTGTGTGCTTAGGTAGCACCGTGTCGACTTCTTCCCTGAAGATCTTTTCGTACTTCCAGTATTCCTTGGGTACGTTCTGCAGTCTTTCTTGCTGTTCTGTTGTGAGCTCCTCCGGGGTTGTCTCCTCTGAGTTGTCCCTATTCGTGAGGGCTAGTTGGAGGTCGCTTGAGAGACCGCTCGTGGGTCTTTCCTCAGGGGCTGACGTACTCCACTGGACGCGGCCAGCTGTCCAGTCAATCTGAGGGTTCCATTCTCTGAGCCATGGGATGCCTAGGATGATTTGTTTTCCTCCCATGTTGGTGATGTCGAAGGTTATGTGGCCGGGTCGGCGAGAAATGAATACCTGGAGGGGCGCAGTCTCCGTATTCACGATTCCTCCTCCGTACGAGACCGCTTGTCCCTCCACCGTGCTGAGCTGATAGGGTTCCTCCTTATATTTCCAGCTGATGTGGTTCTTGTTGATATATTCGGGGCTCATGTAGTTGCCCTGGGCGCCGCTGTCTAATAGCGCGCTCGCCCATCTTCCTCCTACGTTTATTCGTACGTAGAGGTGGTTTGTGCCGTGGGTTCGTTCGGCTGAGCAGATTGCTCTTACTTCCTTCGTCGGTCGTTGTCCCTGTTCGACCGACGCTTGCCTTTTCCCGAAGAGGGTGGCGTAGTGGGTGGCCATGTCATGGATGGTCCGTCCGAGTTGTCGTTCATCTCGTCGCTCTTGTAGTGGACGCGGAAGAGTGGCTTCCTGACGTCCTTCATGCGATGGAGTCTCCAATCTCTGGCTTTGGCGATGTAGTGCTTCATGCACGCGTCATTATCGCAGTCCTCCCATCTGGCGTTGTCTTGGTAGCATTTGTCGTGATAAGCGGGGTCTGGTCGGAACGTGAGCCGACCCTGACTGTATTCGTCCATGTGTAGGATCCATTTGCGACTCTCCTGTCCGAACTCTACCTTCACTCG